CTCCTGATGGACACATTATGTCCTCAAGGTAAACTAATGGCCACAGACGGGCACCTAAGCACACCTGGGAGTCTTAACCCGCCTTGTGATGACTGCAGTCTGATTTGATTGTTTATCTTTCTTATTTGTTGCCAAGGACCACCCACACCTGGCACTGAGTAGGTGATTAATAACTGGTTGCTTCTGGCTTTGTTTTTCATAGGCTTATGGGTTAGCAATTCTGAAACTACTCTCTGGGTACTTAGGATTGAGCAAATAAGTAACCTGGAGTCAGGTTTCTCACTGGAGAAAGAAGTTGCAAATATGGAAAGGAGGGATATTAGAATAAACTCTATGGTGCTGGGTTGGAATTGGAGGTTCAGTATGAACTCAAATTTTAAATATATATATTGAGAGATACATACAGAAGCATACATAGATGTACTATTTTTTTCTTAGTTCTGATACTGAGAGGATCTAAGAGTATTGACACCCTAGTAGTAACCAGCGTACCCAACACCCAGCTCCTGGTTTCTAAATACCAGACTCCACCTAAAGGAACCAGGGTTCTTGGAGAAATGACCAGTTTCAGGGTTGGTTCAGGGAAGGTACAAGATGAACCTAAAACATCTTGTGACAGAAAATAAAGAAGGGCTCAGATGATGGTAGGGACCTGTCCCAGAAAGACAAAAACTAGTCTGAAGAGTTTCCCAAGGCCAAATTTAAACCAATGTGAGCATCAGAATGATAGTAACAGAGTTCAGTTTCGGTTCTGTCGCTCAGTCGTGTCTGACTCTTTGCCACCCCACGAATCGCAGCAGGCCAGGCCTCCCTATCCATCACCAACTCCCGGAGTTTACTCAAACTCATGTCCATGGAGTCAGTGATGCCATCCAGCCATCTCATCCTCTCAGTAACAGAGTACAGCTCACCAAATAAAACAACAGTCTGTGAGTCTACAATTATTTAAATAAACAAACAGGAGGGAAAAATTCTTCTTCAGAGTTAAGTGCCAGCTAACAAATGTAGAAGGGTAGAATTAGAAAATCACCATTGGCAGGCAAGGACCATCAGGGTCTAATAGGTGACTGATGAGAAAGGCTATTTGTATAGTTTCAGAGCATCAGCCTGGAAGACACTCATTAATTATACAGGGAAGGGACTTCCCTGTGCTCCAAAGGCCAAAATTCTGCACTCTCAATGCAGGGGGCCTGGGTTTGATCCCTGGTCAGGGAACGAGATCCACATGCTGCAACTAGGAGTATGCATGCCACAACTAAAGAATCTTGTGTGCTGTAAATAAGACCTGGAGCAGACAAATAAATAAGTAATAAAGAAGATAAATATTTTAAAAATTTATACAGGGAAAATACATGTAGTTTACAGGGGGAAATCTGGCACCATTTTGACCAGCTAATTCAAGTTAACATCACCAGTAATAGAATAAATAGGTGTCCCACACCACCTGATATGATCCACTGAGATGGATACAATACCACTTTTGAGTATTCTTACCAAAAATGCATAACCTGAATCTAATCCTGAGAAAATATCAGAGTCACCCAAATGTAGGTTCACATTCTGCAAAATAACTGACCAGGCTCTTCATAAATGTCAAGATCATGAAAGACAAAGTCTGAGAACTGGTTCAAATTAAAGGAGACCGAAGAGACATGACCCCTAAATGCAGTGTGTGGCTGGCTTGGATCCTGAACCAGAGAACAATTGTTTTCTTTCACTATAAGGGTCATTATTGGGCCTTCCCTGGTGGTCCAGTAGTTAAGACTCTGTGCTTCCAATGCAGGGGGTGCAGGTTCAATCCCTGGTCAGGGAACTAATTTAATTTAAAAAAAAAAGCATGAAGAATTCTCTAGCAAAGTTAGTAGAATTAGTAGGCATTTAGTATATGGGGCTTGCATGTACGCTCAGTTGTGTCCAGCTCTTTTGCGACCCCACGGACTGTAGCGAGCCAGGCTCCTCTGTCCATGGGATTTCCCCAGGCAAGATATAAAACCAGAGTGGGTTGCCATTTCCTTCTTCAGGGGATCTTCCCGACCCAGGGATGGAACCCACATCTCCTGTGACTCTTGCATTGACAGGAGGATTCTTTTACACCAGAGCCACCTGGGTCATTATTAAAGAGGGTGTCTGGTGGGCATCATGAGTTGCCCGTTAACTAGAGGCATCAGGAAGTTCTAGGACAGGAATTCTCAAACATTTGTGTGTATAAGAATCACCTGGAGATTTTGTTCAGTACAAGTTCTGCTGCATGTCTGGGTGGGGCTCAGATCCTGCATTTCTAACAACTTCAGGTGATGCTCACAATGCATTTCTGCTGGCCCAGGGACCACCCTATGGGTCGCAATGAGGTGGATACAGCTGCGATTAAGGCCAGGGCTTCTCGAGCCTGGCTGCACTTCAGGACCACCAGGAAGAAGCGGATTTTATTGATCCTCCCAGGGATTCTGATGGGCAGCCAGGATTAGACCTTCACAGTCTCACCTGTGTCTGTGTTCTATCCACTGTCTCAAGTTCAGACCGGAAGTCTGAATACTGCCATGGCTGCCAAGCTAAATTTGTTGCTGCTGCTCTACTCTGTCCTGTTCCCAGAAGCCAGGTGAATCTTGCTGCTCCTTCACAGTTCAAACACTTTCATACAAGTTAGGTGCAACTCCCCACCTGGAGATCAAGCCCTCTGAGACGTGTGGCCTAAACCCACGGTACCCGGCTGCTCACCACCCTCCCCCTAGAGCGTCCCCATCCTGCAACCCAGGTTCCCTTCACACTCACAGCACCTGTCTTGTCTCAGTCCAGTCTCCAGGTAAGAGGAACCATCTCTCAGTACCTTCCTCCAGGAGGCCTGTGCTGTGACGTCAGTCTGGCTGGGCCCACCCGGGGGCTCGCTTCCCCTAGGAGAGAGAGCTGGCTGAGAGCCTGGTGACTCAGACTCACTCATAGCAGGAGACGAAGGGTCTCTGTGGCGGGGACACAGGTCATCCTGCTCCTGTTCATACAGGCAGGGATCTGCAGCCCGCGTCCGTGGGGAATCACAGGGAGGGGACAACTTGGGTGGTGCCCTGAAATTCTGACCTGGCACCCAACTCCCCATTCACCTGTTCACCTCCCACCCACTCTTTCCCTTCCCTCCTCCAGCCCAGCAGGTGGCTAGGATCTGAGGGACCTAGAGGAAAATAGGTCACAGGGAGGTGCCACCTAGGTTGTCCCCTCTGGGGAGGGTTTGGCCTAGGAGAGAAGATGTATTTGTCAGGCGTTGGAAACCAAATTTGAGATGGGGAATGGGGGACCTGAATGCCATGAGACCCACCTCCTTCTCCCCTTCCCCTTGGCTCCAAGGCAAGGGACAGGGATGGGCCACCACGTCTCTGATCCTCACATTCCTGAGGAAGACCTTCCTCTTGATCCAGCCCCTGCTACTGGCCCATGCGCCCTGTGGATGATGTAGCCGATCCCTGTTAGGATGCTGGGAGCCCAGGGACGGGGCTTCATAATCAAGGGGATTAGAGACTGGGGGTGCCGCAGTTTCCAGGAGAATCATAACTGGAATCTGAGGGAGGAGCAACCACTCTCGGCTCAGACAGGTTCAAGGTCAAGGCCCCAAAGGCTTCTTAGAATAAAGCTCGTCCCCACCTCTGACTCCCACTCAGGCTGTTCCACTCTCCCTCACGAATGTCCAGATGGAAACTCCCAGGAGAGGCTCATTCCACCCTCATGTAGGGAGAAGACCCTTCCCGCCTCCCATCAAGTTTCTTGAAGCTTTGCACCCTTAGCCTCCCTTTGGACCAGGGAGTTTTCAGAGTCCCAGTCCTGCTGAGTTCTAGAGAGAGAGGCAGGAACCTGGATGCAAATATGAGGTAGATCCCCTAAGAGAGATGTACCCCATTCCTTGATCTGGAGTGTCCTCCCCCCCACCCCGCCTCCACTATCCTGCAGAATGCCCTTGGGCTGCCCCAGGCAGGGTAACACTTGGCCCCCAATCATGCTTTCTGCCTCCAAGTCCCAGCTCCCAGGTGGCTGTAAGAACCTATTTCCAGGCAGAGACTTTATCAGTTGTTTATAATAATCATAATTTTCCAATCCCCAATCAAGACCACAACTTGAGGGTCACTCTTGGGTATAAGAGGCATGTTGGATACTAAAATATTGCAGTTTGTAATGATTAGAAGAATCAGGATTAGATTATACATGACAAGAATTATGGAGGAAATAAGTCAAGCTATTTGAAATCGAGGTTGTTTTGGAAAATCCAAGCTATATCGTTTCTATACATGTATTCTCTTCTGTTTTCCAGCGAGACCCTCTGAAAATACTTGAGCCTTCCTTCTCTTCACCACTCATTCTCTGTTTCCCCCAACCTCTCACATCCATTGCATTCATTCCCCAATCAACACGTTACATGGTTTTTCCATGAGTCATCCTTTATTGCTGTTTGAAGTCATGAATTATTGGCACAAGACATAGTGGGTTTCAAAGCGAATGACAGAAGGAAACACAGTTTGCAGGTGGGAAGACCCAACAGTGAAGAATCCTAGAGCAGCCTTGACCCTGGCCTTGAGGGTTGGGTCTTACTTGTAAGGACCCTGCAGCCAGGACCTAGCCCAGTCGAGTCAGACTACCTGGCCCACAGGTGATCGAGCCACATCTCGGGGGAGCTGAAGGGGTCCCCCAGTCCTCTCTCAAAGACCATCATTGTAGCCTTCTTGGAACCTTCTTCTAGCCTCCAAGTCTTTGCCACCAACAGCAGTGTGCCAACCACAAGGACCCTCTCCCCTCTGAGGCAGCCAGCCTGCTCTCCTCACCCATTCCTTTTCCAGTGGAGGCTTCCCCTAACCAGGGCAGGTAAAGGCCCCTGCAGAGGGAGGAGGGGGGAGGGGAGCAGGGAAGTGGGGAGCAGGAGGGAGGGAGTCGGTTTCAGAGGACTGGCCAAGTCCAGTGGCCCCCCGAGGAGAGGTGCCTGTCCCCTCCACCACAGTGGGTCCTCCCGCCAGTATCTGAGGGGCTTCTCAGCAAGCGAGCTGCTGCCCCGCCCCCTCTGAGGAGGGCTCCTCCTCTATGAGCTCCAGGTCGAACTCATCCTCCAGGGACCCTCCCACCGGCAGAAGGCGGAACTTCTTCCCTTTAAGTGTGCACGTGCGGTGCTCGAAGTCCAGGACTGCGTTGTGGTCCTGCAGCACGTCGGTCCCAATGATGGCTTCCTCCGCACTCGCGTTGGCCACTAGGAAGGCTGCCTTCAGCTTCAGCTTGCCCAGGGACACCGCCGTGTCCCAGACGCCCAAGATCTTCATTTCGGCCCCGTTGGCCACTTTCACCACATTCTCAAAGGGCCGCAGCGTATCTAAGTCGCCATCGGTGACCTCCTCCCACAAGCTCGGGTGGACCACGGAGACCTGGGCCCCGGAGTCCACCAGGAACCTCACGGGCACTTTGCCAATTTTCCCCTTGAGGTAGTAGCCCTTACCCATGCTGTTGGCAAAGACGATCTCCTTGGGCAGGTGGCTGTGGGCAGCCTCGGGCCCCCCAAAGATCTTCAGGAGGGTCTCTTTCACAGCCCCGTAGTTTCCCTGGTCCTCGGGACTGAGACTATTGAAGGCCCCCAGGGCATCTCCCCTGAGAGACTCTTTCAGGAACCTCAGCTTGGTGATGTGGTCCCAGTGGTTGAGGTCGCTGATGACCTCAAAGCGATGCAGCCAGAGGTGTGGGGCCACATTGGCTCCATCGAAAAGCCCTGGGACGAAGGCACGCTCACGGCTCCTGGCTCCGCTCCCGGCCATCCCTCTACTCCCTTCTGGAACTGCAGCAACAACCCACGGCAGGTAGAGAAAGCCACAGAGCAGTGTCAGCTCAATCACGCTGGAGAACGAGGCTTCTCTAAGCAGACTGTTGCTGGGTGCCCGCTGTTGGCAGGCTGGAGGGACCGGGCGAAGGCTGTCTGCTGGACTGCTGGGTGCAGAGCTGTGGCCTGCTCACTCTGCAGAGCCTTTTTGATACCCAGCCTGGGCCCCCAGGCTCCCCATTCGCCTTTGTTCTGGGAGCTCCGCCCCTGCTCCTCCCACCACACCCCCTCCCTCAGCATCCTGTTCGACGGGCAGGATCAGTGCCCCGCCCTTCTGCATCCATCAACGGGACAGGCCGCGGGCAGCCCACGTTGCAAGGAAGGCCAGCCTGGGTCAGGGGGGGCCTCCTCAGGTACCCTCCCCAGCCTGTGTCCCAGAATAACAGATGAGGACAGGACGACGTTACGACATCCAGGTGTTTGTCATCAGCTGGAGGAGGAAGGTGGAGTCAGGGACCAGAGACCATCAGCTTCTAGACTGGGGAGGCCCCTTTGCCCTCAACCTTGAGCGATCCCCTTTGAGTGGCTAAGGGGAAGGAGCTTACACTTACTGTGTTTCTGCTCTGTGTGAAGTGAGAGGCTGGGTGTTTCTCATGAGCTCTGAACCCAGTTCGGAAACCCGTAAGATTCTCTGGAGAGATGGAGGAGCCCCCAGAATCAAGAATGCCCAGAAATAGTTTCTTTAAGTGAGGGAACACATGCACACATTTTCCACGAATGCAATTGCTACAGTTTTCCCTCGTTGATCACACCTAATTCAGGGTCATTCTGCCTTCTGGGAGTGGGTGCCAGAATCTGGAGTCGGGCTTCGACTCTAGCTCTGGGCAGGCCCCCTCTTTGGCTTCTCCCCTCTCACCTTCCAGAAGCCTTTGTAAGAGTCTGTTCCCCAGGTTCTTCAGACCGCCTCTTCATCTGGGCATTTGTGGAAAGAGCGGCCAGAGAATTCCACTCTTTTTATTCCAAGAGGGGGAAGCATCCACTTTGTTGGCAGAGCCAGCAGTGAGAGACTGGATGGCTTTAGATGGAGGAGGCTGGCTGTGGGACCTCTTGCTGGGCTTGGGGGTGGGAGGGTGGAGGGCCGTCCCAGGCCACCCCATGGATACCCAGAAGGCAGATCTGGGAGTTCATGGCTGGAGTCTGACTGGGGCTACTGGGGGACCCACATTTCTGGCCCTGTTTAAGGGTCGCCCCTCCACAGAGCCCTCTACTCTGGCCTCACCAGTGTGCCCACTCCCAGGTGACAGCCATGGCTGTGTGTCTCATTCATTAAGTCTGTCTGGCTCACGTACGACTGCCTCCAGGCCTGGCAGAAACTGACTCTGGGGAACTAGGTGCTCTTTACTGGGCTCCAAGCCTGCTGAGTGCTGTCACCAAACAGGACAGATGAAGACAGGAGAGGAGCAAGAACCAGCAGCACACCTGTGGCTCTGGGCTGTTTTTCCTGGCCCAGAGCCTGTCTCTCACCAACTCCCTGTCCCACTGATCACCCAAGCCTGGTTGAACTCCAGAGGACCCTGGCTCCAGTCCTGCCCCTGGCCGGTCCCAGGGCCTCTGACTATGCCAGAAGACCCTTAGCCCCTGTGGCTGTGTCAGCCCCTTGCACCTGACACAGTGAGCCAGCACAGAGGCAGCTGGGTCAACACCTCTCATCACAGCTGCCTGGCTGAGGTGGGGCCATCGTGCCATTCCAGAAACCCAGAGGAGGGGGAAGTGGAGTCACTGAGCAGGTGGGTCTCCCAGAGAATTGCACAATGCAAAACCTGCACCCAGAAAAATGGCCCTGCACCCGCAAGACCAGGAAGCCCCTTCTGCAAGTGGATGTTTGTGGATGGACTCCCAGTCCCTGGAATAGGCGTTGTTCTGTGGCCCAGGTAACTGACCTTAGTGGCGTTGTGGCTCCCTGGTATTCATCACCTTGAACCCTTGGTCCCCTGGAAATGGGAATGAGTTAGGAGGCTGCCATGTGACCAAGGGAATTAAGAAGTAAGGTGGCTTCTCAACTGGCAACTAGGACTGCTGGACGCCCCCACTGTGCCCTTTCAGACCATCATCGTGGACAGTGATGTCAGGTCTCCCTGTTGCCATTGTCTAGAAATAGGAGGTCCCTGGGACCTGGGTCATGGTCCTCACTTGATTGGGTTTGGTGTTCACTTTGGCCAAGTCATTCAATGTCTATCCCCGCAGTGAGCGTCAGGACAACCTGCAGGGCAGACCAGCCTGCACTCCACCGTTCTGAAAAACAAGGAGCTTGAATGGCTAAATGGTTTGTCTCAGGCCCAAGCTGCCCAGTGCATGTAAGGGCATTTTGCAAATAAAGGCAGGGAAGCAGGTGTGTTGGGCTCAGAGAGGCATCCTGCTAGGTCCTGGGGCTTTGCTGTTGATGGCCTCTGATGAGGGCAGTGATCTAGCGGGCAGTGAGAGCTGATGGCTAAATATTTGAGAATTTTCTGAGTTAGCCTTAAACGAACTGGTAGCGCGAAACCAGACATGGTTGGAGCATTTATACCACAGAAATTAGCAAATTCTAAATCAAGCCCCCCTTTTTCTGGAAAGCCAGCTTGTCATCACATTCCTGCCTGCGGACCTTGGTCACTCTCTCTGGGGCAGGCAAAGACCACAGCCAGTGATTAACAAGCTTCTAGCATCTCCACTCCTGCCCAACCACTTCTGTACAAGTCCCCTCTCTAGCCCCCCTTGCCTCACACTCCCCCACAGCCCTTATACTTCTGGGTCCTTGGACCCAAGGCCCTCTTCAGCGAACCCCTCCAGGCTAGCTGTCCACACAGTCCCACCTGGGGTCCCCAAGACAGAAGCACACAGGGGGTCTCATGGTTACTAGGCGAGCTGGCAAAGGTCGAGATTAGGGAGATTCTCTCGTGAAGCTCAGGAAAATGGTGACCTCAGTTCTCCAGCTCCCTTCAGCCTTCGGAGAGGCCCATCCCTGGAACACCTCAGAACCACTCAGGAACCTTGGGATTGCCATGTCAGTGTTGAACTGATGTGCTAGCCAAGCCAGGGCAGGACAGGCGCCACTGCCTCCTCCCAGGACCCAGGAAATCGTGGTTAATTATTGACAAATATAGGTATTGGGGCGGGAACACCCTCATTATTACCCATTGGCATCTCCAAAGTGTGCTTGGAGGCAGGCACTTATCCCAAGAGGAGGTAAATCAGGACGATAAACAGGAAGGGCTTACGGGATCCCCACCTTCCACACCCCTCATTGAGATTTTGGGGCTGGGAGCTCTGCTGGTCCCACTCCCTGCCTCCCCTTTGCCATTTCATCCCTCCCCTGCCCTAGGGGTGGGGGAGTGGTGTGTGACGCATTATAAGCCCATGAAAGGGCCCATTGGGGGCCCCTGATAATTGAAGCCCTTGGTGAGCAGTGGGGACACCCCAGAAGCTGCATGTCCCTTCTCTTTACTGTTTCTTCCGCCTGACCACTGCTGGGGCCCAGTGGGGCCCAGAGAGGAACCCAACCCCTCAAGTTCTGAGATTAGGGGGGTCCTGGGGTACAGGGTGGGCAGTGGGGAGGGGCCTGGGAGGGGACCTGGGCATTCTCAGGAGGTCATGTTGAGCAAAGAGGCTAGAGACACCCTACAGATTCCAGGGCTCCAGGTGAGGCCCAGATGTAACACCAGGAGGGGCAGAAAAGGTGCCACCAGCCCTTGCTGTGCCAAGATAAGGGGCTCTGCAGCTCCTTCCAGCTGCCTCTGGCAGGCGCCCTGCACTCCCAAGATCAAGGTCACCCTGGGAACTGGATGGGGCGAGAGCAGACACGAATTTAAGGAGTTTTCAAGGCCACAAAGAAGGTTGAGGGGAGACAGAAGGTGCACTTTCTGTAAGCAGGGACAGCTTCATGAGCATCCAACCTATGAAGTCCTAGGGACTCTGCTCTCGGAAAGGCCAGGGTTGGTCTGATGTGTTGCTGACTTTAAATTCCCAGTAGTTTGGAACAAGGACCCCCAAGCTAATTTTTTCCAGGCCCTGTAAATTATGTAGCTGGTTGTGTCTCTAACCCATCTGATGCGCCTTCACACACATGGACTTATACACACATGTACATGCACACATGAACACTTGCACACCCTCCTTACCACACATCACACACACATGCTGTCACTCAGTTGTATCCAACTCTTTGTGACCCCACGGACTGAAGCCTGCCAGGCTCCTCTGTCCATAGGATTCTGCAGGCAAGAATACTGAAGTGTGTTTCCGTTTCCTATTCCACGGGACCTTCCCAATCCAGGGACTGAACCTGCTTCCCAGGTGGCATTGGTGGTAAAGAACCCTCCTGCCAAGGCGGGAGACGTAAAAGACACAGGTTTGCACCCTGGGTTGGGAAGATTGCCTGGAGGAGGACACAGCAACTCCCTGCAGTATGGGTTGGAGTGCAAAGTCGGACATGACTGAAATGATTTAGCACACACATACACACACCAACAGAAACATACATACCCACACACATACTACACACCCTCCTTACCACACATTACACATATATGCTCAGTCACTCAGTTGTTTCCAACTCTTGATGACCCCGTGGACTGAAGCCTGCCAGCCTCCTCTGTCCAAGGGATTTTCCAGGCCAGAATACTGGAGTGGGTTGCTATTTCCTACTCCAGGGGAACTTCCTGACCCAGGGATGGAACCCATGTCTCTTACGTTTCCTGCTTTGCCACTAGTACCACCTGGGAAGCCCTCACACATATACACATGTCCACAAAAATGCACCCCCCACACACACTGTGCTCACATCCTGCGCATGTAAACACACCAAACACAAACACAGTCACACTATAGTTCTCAGCTCAAAACAACTAAGCAATTGTGTAACATGCATATAGAACTCAGCTCCCACCTTTCATTTCACAGATTTCTTTGCACACACATTTACACTGAGTATTAAAACCATATTTATTGGAGGCACCTGCAGTTTATTAGCCCCTGGGCATACTTACTGGCCCAGAAAACTAGGCAGGTCCCATCACCGTGGCTTACACGCTAATGAAAACAGGATACAGCTGGTTAACAGCCTGGTTTTGAAGAGTTTAAGACCAACGTGTGTGTGCAGGCTGACCACTTGAAGCAGCCCCAGTCACAGCCACACTGCTTCAAAAGTAGGTCACGCTGCCTTCTGCCCCCACCCACCGCCCTCACTGTGTGGGGCCAAAGACACGATGCCCTCTATTCCTCCTACCTCCAGGCTCTCCCGCCACAAGCAAACTCCCCCAGGCCTGCCTCGCTCCTTGCAGCTCCCACCTGGCCCGTTCCTCCAAAGGCCCTGTCCTGGGGCTGATGTGAATGTGGGGTTAGGGAGGGTTGATGGCACAGCTCCTGGGAGGTGGGCACCCAGCTGCTTCCGGTGTCCTGCTTCAGTGGGTGGTGGCATCAGGTCCTCAAGCTGGAAAGAGGAGCAGAGTGGTGAATTGTGCATGAAAATCTAGTTAGGGATTCAGATCAGAATACTAGGGCATCTGGGTGGGCTCTGACCAAAGCCAGGCATGTGGGAAAACCCACGGTGCTGGCAGGTGCCTTAACCCCAAACCACAGCCCCTGGACTGACAATTCTGCTCTTCTGAGTGGGAATGCCACAACTGGCATTCACATTACCTGTGGCCAAAGGTGCACGGGAAGGATAGCTTTTCCTTGTGTGTTTCCCACCCTGGGTCCTGGGCACAGCTCGGGGACAGAGTATTCCTACCCCGGGTCCCTGCCCCAGTTCTTCACTGTTCCAGAACCACCTTCTCCCATTTGCGTCCCCCTCAACACTCATCTACCACCTAGTCTAAAAGCCTTCCACCTGGATGTCGCCCCACTCAGCCCACCAGCTGAACTCCTCTTGTCAGCAGCCTGCAAGACCGTCACACTGGAGGGTCCTAGAGATGTTGAAGGAACAGTGATCCCAGGCCTAAAGCCACTGCCAGCCCTCCAGACCCAGGGCCAAGGCCAGGACCAACCAACAGTTGGTCAGAACAAGTTTCTGGCTGACTCCCTAGAAGTCCAATATGCCAAAACCAGTTCTTCCCCTGTTTTTATCTTTCAGTCAACTATGAAGATTACTTACGGTGTTCAGAAGGCCTCCCAACTCCCCTCCTCCCAACCCAGACCCTCCAAATTAGGCTCCGCCTTCCCAATTCCTGATGCCCCCACCCTGGACCAAGCCCTCATCCCTTCCTTCTCTGATTTCTGCCACCCTCCCTAGGGGCAGGGGTGCTACCTGGCGACAGGGACTGGCTCTAAGGGCAGACCCCAGAAGATCCCCCTCTTTCCCATCTCCATGGTCCCCTCCATTTTACTGAGGTTGGCAGCAGGACTCATCAGGTAGTCCAAACAGCTCCGGAGACGAACTCACTTTTAACAAACAGTCCTGAAATTTATGAAACATTCACAAAAATAAAAGTATACAGATTGTAGTCTCCAAGTACAAGTGGGCTTCTAATGACATCAGGACACTCAGCTTAAATCTAGACACGTGGAGGACTTTTGTCCAACTTAAAATACCTCAAAGGCAGCTTTGAACTGATCCCAGAATAGCTTTAATTGCTGCTAATGATAACTGGTATCTTGAGGAATGCAAACATATAAAACAGCCTCGGCCCAGGAGCTGCTGCTTTGGAAACCACTGCCAACTCAGCTTTGCTCCTGACTTACAGAAGACGGGGGACAAAGGGTGGCCCCTT